TTCCGACGTTACAGGACGGCCCAAGAGGCGCCCAAGACCGCCCCAAGACGGCCCAAGAAGCTTCCAAGAGGGCCCCAGGACAGCCCAAGAGGGCCCCAAGACGGCCCAAGAGGCGCCCATGATGGCCCAAGAGGGCCCCAAGACGGGCCCAAGAGGGGGCCCAGAGGGGGACCACGAACCGCAAGCTCGAGCCTTCCGCACCAAGAGGCCGCCAGGAGGCCCCCAGGAGGCCCCTCAAGAGGCCCCAGGAGACCCCAGACGTCCAAGGACGCCCCAGACGCTTCGCGTCTACCAATTTCTTATCGCTAGCGATTCCTGGGTCTGTGACTCTCGGACAAACCTAAGCGCGCGCGAAGCGCGTCGGCGTCGGTTCTATAGTTATGTATGTATGTATGTATGTCTGTATGTATGTATGTATGTATGTTATGTATGCATGCATGCCATGCATTGCACACATGCATGTATGCGATGCATGCATGCATGTATGGATGTATGTATGTATGTATGTATGTATGTATGTATGTATGTGTGTATGCATGCATGCATGCATGCATGCATGCATGCATGCATGCATGCATGCATGCATGCATGTATGTATGTATGTATGTATGTATGTATGTGTGCATGTATGTATGTATGTATGTATGTCTGTATGTGTGTATGTGTGTATGTGTGTATTGTATTGCAATGTAATGTAATGTAAGGTAAGGTAAGGTAAGGCAATGCGATGCAGTGTAGTGTAAACTAGTGTAATGCAATGTAATGCAATGTAGTGCAATGCAATGTAATGCAAGGTATGTATGTATGTATGTATGCATGCATGTATGTATGTACGTATGTATGTATGTATGTATGTATTTATGTATGTATGTATTCATGCATGCATGCCTGCCTGTCTGTCTGTCTGTATGTATATATGCATGTATATATGCATGTATGCATGCACATATATGCACGTATGCATGTATGCATGTATGCATGTATGCATGTATGTATGCATGTATGCATGTATGTATGCATGCATGCATGCATGCATAAATGCATGCATGCATGTATGTATGTATGTATGTATGTATGTAGGTAGGCAGGCAAGCAGGCAGGCAGGCAGGCAGGCAGGCATGTATGTATGTATGTATGCATGCATGCATGTATATTATATTTATATATATATATATATATAGATATATCTTATGTATGTATTATATATATATATATATAGATATGCACACATGCACATATTTAGATGCACATATATATATATATATATATATATATGTATGTGTGTGTGTGTGCGTGTGTGTCCCTGGCCCACGGTGCCCCCAGGATTCCCAGGGATGCCCTCGCCATTCCCAGATCACCCCAGGGAAGGCCCAGGGCCCCACGGGCTCCAAAGTGGAGCGAACGCTGGGGACGCCTTTGGCCAGGGACGCATCTGGCAAGCCCCTGCTTGAGAAGTGGCAGGCTGCGCGTTCCCTACCTGCTCCGCTGGTGGACGCGGGAGTGTCCGCCGCCCTGCACCGTGCCCCGTCTCGGGTGCGCGCTGGCGAAAACCGCTGTGTTCCAGTAGTTCTGGAGAGGCCAGTGCCCGTTGGAAAAACAAGTTTCGAGTCGTCATTTCTTATCTCTCAGGGTGCGCGCCGGCGAAAACTTTCCAGTGCAGTCCCGTGCCCCCGCGTGGTCGCGCCGATGCGCGCCCCGTGGCGCGCGGCGGGTCCGCGCCTCCCCGCCGTGCGCGGCTGGCACTCCGCATCGGGGTGTGTGTCTTGGCGGCCTGCCGTGTGCGGCTTGCATGCTGGCCAATTCGCTACAACGGTGCCCGAGTTTGGGTGGAGAGGGCCTTTAGCGAAGGGCAATGGAGATGTGGGGGGGGGAGTGGGGGAGGGGGGGGGGTGAGTGGTGGGTGGGGGAAGGGGGGGGGTGGGAGGGTGGAGTGGCCGTGGGGGGTAGAGTGGGGGTTGCGTGGAGGGGGGGGGGTGGGGGGTTGGAGGTGGGGGGGGGGTTGGGTGTGCCTTGCCGTTTTTTGGAGATGGGGGTGTGTCCCTTTTTTTCTTTTTTTTTTTTTTTTCTTTTGACTCCGCATCGGGGTGTGTGTCTTGGCGGCCTGCCGTGTGCGGCTTGCATGCTGGCCAATTCGCTACAACGGTGCCCCTATTTAGTTTTGAGTCGGGCCTGTCCCTCTTCAGGACGAATATTCCAAAATTAGGCAAAGAAATAGTCTCAGGACCATTTTTCGAGCATTTTTATTATTTTTGTTTTTTGAATATTTTGTATTTTTCGTCCGAACTTCGCTTGTAAGGGGGACATGCCCGACCTAAGTTTAGTTATATCCATCGCCAGCGCAGGCGACCCCTGCTGAGCCGCCGACGCAAAAGTGTGTCTAGGCCGCCCAGACGGGGTCTGAGTAGCTGGGATCGGAGGATGGCGCCGCATCGCCGATGCATCGACGATGCGGCTCGATGCGAAGCCTGATTTTCTCCACGCCGACGTCGCCGATGCGACGCCGACGTCGGCGATGCATCGACGACGCATCGCCGATGCATTGGCGATGCGGCGCGATCCTCCGACCCCACCTGTTCGGACCCCATTTCGGATGCCTCCAGTGCGCGTCTCGCTCCGTGCGCATGCTGGGTGCGCGGTGTGCCAGCTGGCCTTCCGCTGTTTTTTCTCGCACGCTTCGCGTTCAGGGGCGCCTAGCAGCCGCTTCTGAGTGCTGGCCCGGCCGTCGTGCGCTTGGCTCGGTAGTTAATTAGGCTGGCCCGTACCCCGGACTACCCTCTCGCAGGCTCTCGGCGATTGCTTCACGCGTACGCCCGCGACCAAAAAAAAGTTCAGGGGCGCCCGCGCCGCGAGATCGAGGGCGGCCCGACCCACCCCTGGCAGACCGACCCCTTCCGCGACGGCGCCCCAGACCTCGCTGCAGGGCGTGGGCAGGCGGCCCGAGGGGAGCTTCGAGGGCGGTGGGGGCCGTCACGGACGGGGCTCCTCACGGAGAGGGCAACCCGAAGGCCCCGCTTTGCCCTCCATTTCCAGTGTGGGGGGGGTCGGGGAACATGGACAAAGCACACGCACATGTGAAGCCCGCACCCCCCCAAACCCTCAATTCGGGGGTGCCCGGGTTGGGTTGGGGTGGTCTGGTCGGTAGTCAGAGCGTGAGCGTGGTGGGCGGTGCCCCTTAGCGTGGGCTCGTGCGCGCTGTGACCCCCGGTTGGCCACCTCGACGTGGAGAGCCGCGCCAGTCTCCCGCTCCCAGACATGCGCGTCCTGATTTTTCTCAGGACGGCGTCCCTGGAAGTCCCGACCCTTTCCCCGGGACTGGTTTCTCGCCCTGAGCCGTTTTTTGACGGCACCGAGGTCCGACGAGGGCCCCCCGCGGCCGAAAATAGCCAAACATCGGGGGCGGCAGAGAGGGGGGTGATGACTGGGGGGGGGATACCATGGCGGGGGCCATGTGATCTCTCCCCAGGTCTCATGGCGCTTCTTCTTGTTTCCTTACGGCCCCGGCCCCGCCCCCAGGGCCGCGCACGCGCCGGCGGCCATGATTTGCGCCCCCCCCCTTTCTTGGACGCCCCCCGCGTGGCCGCCCCCGAACAAAAACCCGAGCGGGAGGGGCCGCGCGGCTTGCTGCCCGGCGGGGCGCGCCTCGCGCGCGCCCCCCGCGGCGCACCGTGGCGGCGCGCGCGCGCGCGCGGCGCGGAGCCTCCTCCCGGGGCATTGGGGGGCTGCGAGGGGTGCCCCAAGCCCAGGGTGCCCCCAGCTTCTCGCTCCACCCTGGAGCCCCTGGGGCCCCCTGGGCCTCGTGAGGGGTGCGCCCGGAGGCCGTGGGGGCCTCCCTGGGGACCCTGGGGACGCCTCGGGGCCAGGGGCCCTTTCTAGCAGCACCCCGACCACGGCGACTGCCCGACTCCCCTGGGTTGCCGGGTCCTTGTCTTTTCTCTCCGCTGCCGCCGCGGGTCCCGGCCGCTCTTCTCCTTCCCGCGCCCCCCCTCCCCTCGTCCTCCCCTCGCTCCTGCCCCTCCCTCGCCCAAGTCGGCGCACCTCTCGCGCGCGTCGCGTCCCCCAGGCGCTCTCCGCGCATGCCCCCCGAGTGGAGGAAGTCGCGCGGCGTCGCCCAGCCGTGCCGGCGCTCCCCTCCTGTTTTAACCGTGCCCCACGAGGGGCTGCGCCCGAGGCCCAAGCGGAGGAACTCGCTTGGAGTCGCCCCGCCTATGTTTGTTTAGGTCGGGCCTGTCCCCCTACAGAGGGATTTTCGACGAAAGATAGAAAAATCTCCACAATAGTAAAAAAGAATGTCCAAAAATAGTCGGGGGACAATAATTTAGTATCTTTTGACCTTTTTGGGGCATTTTTGGGGTATTTTTTTATTCTTCGTCGAAAATTCTCCTGTAGGGGGACACGCCCGACATAAGCCCATGTCGACAAACCCTCAGCCCTCGCGCGGATCGTGCCCTCGCACGGATCGTGCCCTCGCACGGCTCTCGCCCCTGCGGGCCCCAGTGGACAGCCCCGCACTGCGCCGCCGCCCCGAGGTCGGCGGAGCGAGCCTGGTGCCGTGCCACCCTCTCCTCCGTTCCTTCCTTTCCTTTTGTCTCGAGCGCTCCTGCCCTTCTTCTCCCTGACCCTCCCTTCTTAGCAATTCTTGTCCTTCCACTTCCTGAGTGAGTGTATTCCTAACAATCTCTGCTCCTGTCCTCTTGCCCTTCCCGCCTGCACCTGCGGAGCCTGTCTGCATGCCTCCGCAGAGTGGCCAGCAGATCTTGGATGGTGCAGCCTTGCCCACCTGGTCTTGGGCAGGCCCGGACGTCTGTTCACCGTGGTGGCCTTCTTCTGCCTCTTCTTCTTCTTCTTCTTCTCCTCGTCCTCATCCTCTTTTTCTTCCTCCCCTCTCCTTCTCCTCCTTCTTCTCTCCTTCTTCTCCTCCCCTCTCCTTCTCCTCCTTATCCTTCTCCTTCTCCTCCCCTCTCCTTCTCCTCGTCCTCCTCCTTTTCTTCCACCCCTCCCAGGTTGGAAACAAGTGCGATCTGTCCTCGAAGAAGGCCGGCGGGCGAGCGTGGGAGGGGGGGGAGAACAGGGACGGCCAGGGGCGGGTGGGGATGGGGGGGGAGCGGAGCGGGATTAGGGAGGAGATCGGGGGGCAGTGGGGGAAGGATGATGAGGAGGAGAAGGGGGAAGGAGGATGGGGGAAGGAGGATGGGGGGGATGATGAGGAGGATGAGGATGAGGATGAGGATGAGGATGAGGATGAGGAGGAGGGGGAGGAGGAGGGGGAGGAGGAGGGGGATGTGGAGGACGAGGAGGGGGAGGCGGTCTTGCGTGTCAGCGGTGCTGCTCTATCCAGCTCCCAGGAGAACGGGAAGGGGAAGCGGCTGTGTGGGATGGGGGGCCCGACCGATTCGAGTGCTCGCCGTATCCGCGACAAACAAGAATGAGTGGGATAGGGGGTGGGGGAGGGGGAGGCGGAGGAGGATACGGAGGTGGAGGAGGAGGAGACGGAGGAGGTGGAGGGGGAGGAGTAGGTGGAGGAGGAGGCGAGGGGAGGGGCAAGCTGGGTACGCTCGCGCCATATCTGACATCCTACCCCTCCCATCCATCCATTGCCACTGCGCTGTTTTTTTCTTGATCCGCGGACGCGTGCCACAGTGGTCCTGGAACTGCCAATCATACCCCATCGTGTCATACGCAATCCGAAAAGGGCAGCTGCGTGCATAAGAGGATGATGATGATGATGATGATGATGATGATGATGATGATGATGATGATGATGATGATGATGATGATGATGATGATGATGATGATGATGATGATGATGATGATGATATGCTGATGGATGGTGACGATGATGATGACGACGAGGATGACGATGATGATGCTGATGATGCAATGACAGACGACGACGACGAGGATGATTATGGTGCGACGACGATCGACGACGACGATGATGATGAGATGATGATTATTATGATGATGATGATGTGAGACGATGATGCTGATGATGGATGTTATGGTGATGGCGATGATGATGATGATGATTATTTAGGATGATGATGATGATGATGATGATGATGATGATGATGATGATGATGATGATGATGATGATGTTGATGTTGATGATGATGATCATGATGATGATGATGATGATGATGATGAGGAGGAGGAGGAGGAGGAGGAGAAGGATGCGGACGGAGGTGGAGGAGGAGGAGGAGGAGGAGGAGGAGGAGGAGCACCAGTATAAACTCAAGATGCATCAACGCATTTGCAAGACACCGTTCCTTCAAGTTCATTCTTCATAGGCCCGTTAGGGATATTTTCATTGTGGAAAGTGGCCCATCAGAAGGCAACCGTTTGAGAATCCTTAATCGTTCCAGACCACAGGTCCTGGGACTTCAGCGCTACGGATTAACGTGACTGTTGCGTCCGGACAATGTTAACCCGTGCCAGAATACCATTCCTGGGCGAGCCAATGTGACTGTTGCGTCCTGACAGTCTGGAATCGTGCCAGAACACAGGTCCCTGGACGTCGGCCGTGCGAATCCTTACACGACGAATGTGCGCGACGCTGAGGCGAGAGCCGCATTCTGAACTGGAGCCGCATTCTGAACTGAAACTGTTGCAGAAGAATGTGCGTGGTGCTAAGGCGAGAGCAGCATTTTGAAAGGGAGTCGCCCTCCATCTTTGAACCGGCTGCAAAGTTTTAGGATTCATGTTAAGGCGAGAACTACATGTTGAAAACCACCCAGCCTTTCTATCAGTGAAACTGTGGCGAAGTTGTAAGACGTATGTGAGCGGCGCTCAGGCGAGAGCCATGTCTCGAAAAAGAACCGCCCTCCATCCTTGAATCTGTTGCGCATTTCGAAGACACACGTGCGTGGCGCGAAGGCGATCGCCACATTCTGAAAACCATCCGCCCTCCATCCGTGAAGCTGCTGCAAGTGGTTAAGGGCCCTGCTTGGCGAGGCAGTCTCAGGCGAGGCGCCCAGCCCGCCCTGCCGACACGTCTGGGGGTGCGACAGGGAGGAGTTACCCACGAGGGAAATGGATGGAGGCAGCGGATGAGCAGGAGGATGAGCACTGGGAGAAAGGAGGAGGACGAGGACGAACGGCAGCTTTTTCCCAACCCTCCTTGGTTGGGCATTCGCTTCGAATAGAGCACTGCGGTCGCGTCTCCTTCTCCTCCTCCTCCGGCCTCCCGCCTCCTGCCTCCCGCCTCCCGCCTCCCTTTTGTCTCCTCTCGCCTCGTGCGCGCCTCTTGTGTGTGCATCTTGCCTGCGGTGTCTGTCTCCGACCTCGCCGTCACTGGGGGGGGCTGCGATCTGCGAAACTGTCGCCACTTTCGAGGGCTGCTGGTGGGTCCTGCAGAGTGAGGCACCGCGCGGATCTGAGCGAGACCTCGCCGTCCCTGGGGGGCTGCGATCCGCGAAACTGTCCCACTTTCGAGTGCTGCTGGTGGGCCCAGTGGAGCGAGGCACCGCGCGGATCTGAGCGAGACCTCGCCGTCCCTGAGGGGCTAGAAAACTGTCGCCACTTTCGAGTGCTGCTGGTGGGTCCAGCGGAGTGCGGCACGGTGCAGATCTGAGCGGGACCTCGCCGTCCCTGGGGGGCTGCGATCTGCGAAGCTGCCGCCACTTTCGAGTGCTGCTGGTGGGTCCAGCGGAGTGCGGCACGGTGCAGATCTGAGCGGGACCTCGCCGTCCCTGGGGGGCTGCGATCTGCGAAGCTGCCGCCACTTTCGAGTGCTGCTGGTGGGTCCAGCGGAGTGCGGCACGGTGCAGATCTGAGCGGGACCTCGCCGTCCCTGGGGGGCTGCGATCTGCGAAGCTGCCGCCACTTTCGAGTGCTGCTGGTGGGTCCAGCGGAGTGCGGCACGGTGCAGATCTGAGCGGGACCTCGCCGTCCCTGGGGGGCTGCGATCTGCGAAGCTGCCGCCACTTTCGAGTGCTGCTGGTGGGTCCAGCGGAGTGCGGCACGGTGCAGATCTGAGCGGGACCTCGCCGTCCCTGGGGGGCTGCGATCTGCGAAGCTGCCGCCACTTTCGAAGGCTGCTGGCGGGTTTAGCGGAGTGAGGCACTACGCAGATCTGAGCGGGACCTCGCCATCCCTGGGGGGCTGCAAGCCTCACGAATGCCACTCGCAGACTTATATGTGCCCATGTCACGTCATCACCTCTGTATAACGTGTCCCAAGCTACTCGTGCCCCGCATTGCGCAGGGGTTGGGTACGTCGCCAGGGTAATTATTTGCGACCAATCTGTGCTGTTGAGTCTTCGTTTGAAGAGGCCGTGCCCGCGTTCCTCTCTCCTCTCCTCCTCCTTTCCTTCCTCCTCCCTTCGCCTCCCTGCCTCTGCCCTCCGCGTTTCCATGTCGGCACACTCCTCACGTTTCGTGGCGACCTCCTTCGAAGGCCTCCGTGGCTGCGTTCGCAGACCTACTCTACACCATTTCGGCGCACCCCTCGCGCGTTTCGTGGCCCCAACTGGAGCTCCACCGAAGGCCTCATTGGCTGCGTCCGCATGCCTTCTCCACACCATTTCGGCGCACTTCTCACACGTCTCGTGGCCCAATAGGGAGCTCCACAGAAGGACCCAGCGGCTGCGTTCGCATACCTTCTCCACATCATGTCGGCGCACACCTCACACGTTTCGCGGCTCCGTAGGGATCCACCGACGGCCCCAGCGGTTGATTGCAACCTTCTCCACACCATTTTGGCTCACACACACACACACCTCACACGTTTCTGGCCCCGTAGGGAGCTCCACCAGAGGCCCCATTGGCTGCGTTCGCCCACACCATTTCGGCGCACCACTCACACGTTTCGTGGCTCCATAAGGAGCTTCATCGAATGCCCCAGTGTACACCATTTCGGCACACCCCACCGAGTGCCCCGGTGGCTGCGTTCGCATTCCTCCGGCGCACGCTTCACACGTTTCGTGGCCACACAGGGAGCTCAACCGAAGGCCCAAATGGCTGCGTCCGCATACCTTCTCCACACCAACTTGGCGTACCCCTCACACATCTCGTGGTCATAGGGAGAACTCCACCGAAGGCCCCAGTTGCAGGAATCGCATGCGTGGCAGGGCCCGTGTCTGCACACCCCTCGTACGCTTCGTGGCCCCATAGGGAGCTCCACCGAAGGCTCCGACTGGAATAACCGAATGCGTGACCACGCCCATTTTGGCACACCCTCACGCTTTTCGTGGCCCAATAGGGAGTTGCCGCGCCGACAGACGCGCAGTTCATCCGTAACGGGTTGCATCCAGATGTAGTTCCTGACGGTTGACCTACAGGACCCCATCGGTAACGTCGCGCTGTCCTTTCCACGCACGTTTCGTCCTGTTGCAAGCCCCTTGCCTTAGTTTCCACGGGTATGATGTATGGTTGTGCCCCTCGCCAGGATAGTTTGCTTGATTGGAACTTGGGTTAGCGTCAAGCCACGCCCTACCCACCCCTGCACAAATCAGCAGTGGCACGGGCAGCGCAATCTGCCAAGAGACAAAACAACTACAACAGACTGGTGACTTACAGCAGAAATTTGCAGCATCTTCTGCGTCGTACCTGCATCTTCGATATCGAGCCTCCCCTCTATCACACCCGACACGTCCCCTCCACTTCCGTACAGTCGAGGCGCTGAAGAAGGAACCCTTTTCATTGGGGAGGAGCTCGGTGTTCCTTGATTGTTTTACAGTTTGCCCCAGGTGTTCCTGAGGTTTTCTGTGGAAACGAAGTTCAACTTGCGGGAGCAAAGGGGCTTCGATCCTAATTTAGGGTTCCTTAGGTCAACGCCCCGACGGTATGTCCACAACAAGGTCTTCGTAGGCAGTCCTTGACACGGTCGTCTTCACGGTGAAATCCAATAGTCTGTTGTGATTTACGCAAAAGTACGCTATGTGTCTCTACTTATTCTTATTTGTTGGGCTTCAACGATGCTCTCGCTAATGACTTGAGCACGTGTGCTCCACCAGCGTGCCATTGCCTAACGAATACGGTCAGGGCCACGATAGGACACGGCAGGAGCAACGGGTGCGAGGCGATGCTGATTGGGA